TATTCATTTTCTAATTCAAAGAATGGATAGTGTGTCTAGTGTATTAATGCCTGTTTTATAATGCTAGCCATCTTTTTACGTCTTTAAACCTACCTGTACCGTCCTCAAACATCATCTTGTAAATCTACCTGTACCTTCCTCTAACATCATCTTGTAAATCTACCCGTACCTTACTCTAACATCACCTTGTAAACCTACCTGTACATTCCTCTAACATCATCTTGTATACCTACCTGTACCTTTCTCTAACATCATCTTGTAAACCTACCTGTACATTCCTCTAACATCATCTTGTAAACCTACCTGTACATTCCTCTAACATCATCTTGTAAACCTACCTGTACCTTCCTCTAACATCATCTTGTAAACCTACCTGTACCTTCCTCTAACATCATCTTGTAAACCTACCTGTACATTCCTCTAACATCATCTGGTAAACTTACCTGTACATTCCTCTAACATCATCTTGTAAACCTACCTGTACATTCCTCTAACATCATCTTGTAAACCTACCTGTACCTTCCTCTAACATCATCTTGTAAACCTACCTGTACATTCCTCTAACATCATCTGGTAAACTTACCTGTACATTCCTCTAACATCATCTTGTAAACCCACCTGTACATTCCTCTAACATCATCTTGTAAACCTACCTGTACATTCCTCTAACATCATCTTGTAAACCTACCTGTACCTTCCTCTAACATCATCTTGTAAACCTACCTGTACATTCCTCTAACATCATCTAGTCAACCTACCTGTACCTTGCTCTAACATCATCTAGTAAACCTACCTGTACCTTCCTCTACTCTAACATAATCTTGTAAACCTACCTGTACCTTACTCTAACATCATCTAGTAAACCTACCTGTACATTCCTCTAACATCATCTAGTAAACGTACCTGTACCATCCTCTAACATCATCTAGTAAACCTACCTGTACCTTCCTTTAACATTATCTTGTAAATCTACCTGTACCTTACTCTAACATCATCTAGTAAACCTACCTATACATTCCTCTAATACATCTTGTAAACCTACCTGTACCATCCTCTAACATCATCTAGTAAACCTACCTGTACATTCCTCTAACATCATCTAGTAAACCTACCTGTACCTTCCTCTAACATCATCTTGTAAACCTACCTGTACATTCCTCTAACATCATCTAGTAAACCTACCTGTACCATCCTCTAACATCATCTAGTAAACCTACCTGTACATTCCTCCAACATCATCTAGTAAACCTACCTGTACCTTCCTCCAACATCATCTTGTAAACCTACCTGTACATTCCTCTAACATTGTATATGTTCTCCAACATGCACTCTTATATCAGTCATCCCGAAACATTCTAATCAGTGTCAACCAATACATATATACCCCCTTAAGTAATTCTGTAACATACCGACAATACCAACACAAAAGATATCTTCGTTTGTCATTTTGCAACATACTGTACAGAACCTGTTTGAACCCATTTCTGTTTGCTTGAAAAGTATACATCTTGTATAGTCAGTATAGTCTTCCAGGTGATCGATGCACGTAGTTCTAGCGTGTAGGCCATTCACCCAGCATCTGGTAAATGTCCCTAAATGTGTTGTATACTATATAAATAAAGTAGAATGTCTTTCTTAGATTACATGTTTCTGTCATCTGACCTGACAAAAACAGAGTTAAAAACGAGTTGAAACGTTTTAAGGAAACTTAATGTCTTTATTCAGGGCATAGTAATACAAGATTGGTCTCTTCATCAGAACATATTCATTTTCTAATTCAAAGAATGGATAGTGTGTCTAGTGTATTAATGCCTGTTTTATAATGCTAGCCATCTTTTTACGTCTTTAAACCTACCTGTACCGTCCTCAAACATCATCTTGTAAATCTACCTGTACCTTCCTCTAACATCATCTTGTAAATCTACCCGTACCTTACTCTAACATCACCTTGTAAACCTACCTGTACATTCCTCTAACATCATCTTGTATACCTACCTGTACCTTTCTCTAACATCATCTTGTAAACCTACCTGTACATTCCTCTAACATCATCTTGTAAACCTACCTGTACATTCCTCTAACATCATCTTGTAAACCTACCTGTACCTTCCTCTAACATCATCTTGTAAACCTACCTGTACCTTCCTCTAACATCATCTTGTAAACCTACCTGTACATTCCTCTAACATCATCTGGTAAACTTACCTGTACATTCCTCTAACATCATCTTGTAAACCTACCTGTACATTCCTCTAACATCATCTTGTAAACCTACCTGTACCTTCCTCTAACATCATCTTGTAAACCTACCTGTACATTCCTCTAACATCATCTGGTAAACTTACCTGTACATTCCTCTAACATCATCTTGTAAACCCACCTGTACATTCCTCTAACATCATCTTGTAAACCTACCTGTACATTCCTCTAACATCATCTTGTAAACCTACCTGTACCTTCCTCTAACATCATCTTGTAAACCTACATGTACATTCCTCTAACATCATCTAGTAAACCTACCTGTACCTTCCTCTACTCTAACATAATCTTGTAAACCTACCTGTACCTTACTCTAACATCATCTAGTAAACCTACCTGTACATTCCTCTAACATCATCTAGTAAACGTACCTGTACCATCCTCTAACATCATCTAGTAAACCTACCTGTACCTTCCTTTAACATTATCTTGTAAATCTACCTGTACCTTACTCTAACATCATCTAGTAAACCTACCTATACATTCCTCTAATACATCTTGTAAACCTACCTGTACCATCCTCTAACATCATCTAGTAAACCTACCTGTACATTCCTCTAACATCATCTAGTAAACCTACCTGTACCTTCCTCTAACATCATCTTGTAAACCTACCTGTACATTCCTCTAACATCATCTAGTAAACCTACCTGTACCATCCTCTAACATCATCTAGTAAACCTACCTGTACATTCCTCCAACATCATCTAGTAAACCTACCTGTACCTTCCTCCAACATCATCTTGTAAACCTACCTGTACATTCCTCTAACATTGTATATGTTCTCCAACATGCACTCTTATATCAGTCATCCCGAAACATTCTAATCAGTGTCAACCAATACATATATACCCCCTTAAGTAATTCTGTAACATACCGACAATACCAACACAAAAGATATCTTCGTTTGTCATTTTGCAACATACTGTACAGAACCTGTTTGAACCCATTTCTGTTTGCTTGAAAAGTATACATCTTGTATAGTCAGTATAGTCTTCCAGGTGATCGATGCACGTAGTTCTAGCGTGTAGGCCATTCACCCAGCATCTGGTAAATGTCCCTAAATGTGTTGTATACTATATAAATAAAGTAGAATGTCTTTCTTAGATTACATGTTTCTGTCATCTGACCTGACAAAAACAGAGTTAAAAACGAGTTGAAACGTTTTAAGGAAACTTAATGTCTTTATTCAGGGCATAGTAATACAAGATTGGTCTCTTCATCAGAACATATTCATTTTCTAATTCAAAGAATGGATAGTGTGTCTAGTGTATTAATGCCTGTTTTATAATGCTAGCCATCTTTTTACGTCTTTAAACCTACCTGTACCGTCCTCAAACATCATCTTGTAAATCTACCTGTACCTTCCTCTAACATCATCTTGTAAATCTACCCGTACCTTACTCTAACATCACCTTGTAAACCTACCTGTACATTCCTCTAACATCATCTTGTATACCTACCTGTACCTTTCTCTAACATCATCTTGTAAACCTACCTGTACATTCCTCTAACATCATCTTGTAAACCTACCTGTACATTCCTCTAACATCATCTTGTAAACCTACCTGTACCTTCCTCTAACATCATCTTGTAAACCTACCTGTACCTTCCTCTAACATCATCTTGTAAACCTACCTGTACATTCCTCTAACATCATCTGGTAAACTTACCTGTACATTCCTCTAACATCATCTTGTAAACCTACCTGTACATTCCTCTAACATCATCTTGTAAACCTACCTGTACCTTCCTCTAACATCATCTTGTAAACCTACCTGTACATTCCTCTAACATCATCTGGTAAACTTACCTGTACATTCCTCTAACATCATCTTGTAAACCCACCTGTACATTCCTCTAACATCATCTTGTAAACCTACCTGTACATTCCTCTAACATCATCTTGTAAACCTACCTGTACCTTCCTCTAACATCATCTTGTAAACCTACATGTACATTCCTCTAACATCATCTAGTAAACCTACCTGTACCTTCCTCTACTCTAACATAATCTTGTAAACCTACCTGTACCTTACTCTAACATCATCTAGTAAACCTACCTGTACATTCCTCTAACATCATCTAGTAAACGTACCTGTACCATCCTCTAACATCATCTAGTAAACCTACCTGTACCTTCCTTTAACATTATCTTGTAAATCTACCTGTACCTTACTCTAACATCATCTAGTAAACCTACCTATACATTCCTCTAATACATCTTGTAAACCTACCTGTACCATCCTCTAACATCATCTAGTAAACCTACCTGTACATTCCTCTAACATCATCTAGTAAACCTACCTGTACCTTCCTCTAACATCATCTTGTAAACCTACCTGTACATTCCTCTAACATCATCTAGTAAACCTACCTGTACCATCCTCTAACATCATCTAGTAAACCTACCTGTACATTCCTCCAACATCATCTAGTAAACCTACCTGTACCTTCCTCCAACATCATCTTGTAAACCTACCTGTACATTCCTCTAACATTGTATATGTTCTCCAACATGCACTCTTATATCAGTCATCCCGAAACATTCTAATCAGTGTCAACCAATACATATATACCCCCTTAAGTAATTCTGTAACATACCGACAATACCAACACAAAAGATATCTTCGTTTGTCATTTTGCAACATACTGTACAGAACCTGTTTGAACCCATTTCTGTTTGCTTGAAAAGTATACGCAAATGATCAATAAAGTTAATAATAAATTAATTGTTTCAGGTGCCTTTGTCCGCTTGCTCAGTACAAGGCGGAATGGAAGGGCTGAAGACAGGAAGATGCCCCCTCGTGCTCCTAGGTGTTCTATTTCTGCACGTCGGTTGGGTACTAGGAGACTGGGAACGCTCGTGTTCACTAGAGACAAAGAGGGAGGGACCGCGAGGTTTCTGTGGGTCGCGCCTCCCGGATATACTACAGCTCGTGTGTCGGGTCTACGGTGGTTACACAGAGAAGTGGTTCCGGAAGCGGAGTGACGAAGGTAGGGAGAGCCGAAGTGTATCGGAGACGGGGACTTAAATGAAACTTGTTTGTTTTCTTGTAAGATATTGTTTTAATGTGTAATACAAAGGAGCCCGGAGACAATCATAAAGTTAAGAAAACTAGATTTCGAAAATACTGTAGACTGGGAAATGTTCGGATATATTTGTTTCTGAATGTGTGTGATCATGACATACAACCTAAGATGTTGTTTTCTACAATGTTTATTCTCCATACACTACAAGGATGTAAATTCAGATTTAAATCGAATTCGATTCCATGCTTAAAAGAGAAACAAGAACAGCACAATGACTGATATGATCAGAGACAATAATTATTTTGAATCCAATGACTTTTAAAAGTTTACAGACACACACAAAATTCATTGAAAACAATTTTGATAACGCATTCTATAAGAAGAAGTATACTGCCAATAACATTTTGTCAGTTGTGTTTCTTTCCATTTCAGATAGCAAAAACAGAATAAAAGATATTATCTTAGGAAAAAGGGATGCCCTCTCCTATCTTAGTAAACGAAGCACTAGCTCATTCGGCGAGCAAGGAATCACCTGCGAGTGTTGCTACCACAGGTGTACTTTAAGAGAGCTGCGGCAGTACTGCAAATCGTCACAGTTAACTAGCGGTCGACAACCACTACACCTGGGCCGCAAATAGCTGGACTCCCACCCATTCCTTTATTCCTGCCTCCCCTCCCTGCTCACTGTCTAGCCTCTTCCGGCTGCACCTTCTGCTAAGCTCCGCTGTTCACATCCAAGACACAAGTCTCTCTGGACTCATTGACAGTCGATCTGTGTTAGACGTGGGATAACACACCACATTATACATTTTGTATCCACATATTCAAGCAGATGATGATTAACCAGATGATGTTTGACAACCCAGTGCTTCTGATTATTTTGCTAAAGGTGCTTGAAATTCCTGTGAACGATGGTAGCACCTGCGACTCGGTGATGTGGCAAAACGCCATTGTGTTTGTGTGTGGCTAATACTTGACCCAACTTCTTGAAGGCAAAATGAAGGCAATTTGTTGCGTATTATTAAGTAATGGATGTGTGCGGAGGTTGCTCAAGCGCACCACAGAAGATAAGACTTGGATTTATGGTGACTTTACGATTGGTTTGGACAGAGGAATATAGTCAGTGGCATTATACATTGGTGACAGTGACAATTGGTGAAGCAATGCTGTACATGTCAAACGTACAAGATCAGAATCGCGGTTGATTTTAATTCTAATTTGAAACCCATCCTTAAATTTAGTAAGACATTTAGATCTTTGCTTCTTACGGTGATCAGCATGTGATGATCATGCAAAAGAGGCCAAACATCATCCCTAGTGCACTTCTGATCTTGCCTCTTTGCGAAACACTAATACGTTGTGATGAATATCATGTCACGTGGTACGGAGCGCACAGGGACAGGATCCCGAAGGAAACATTTGTTTCATTACATGAGTTTGTTAATACTATAAGGGTAACGCTATTTTTCAGGGCATTATCATTTGCAGAAGCCCGAGGTCTTCCATTAACGGCCCGACGAAGGAGGGCAGTTGAAAAGACCGAGGGCTTCTGCAAATAATAATGCCCGGAAAAAAAGTGTTACCGTTATTATAGCTAAACTGGATGGAATTTGTTATCAAATAAAAAAGAAACAACAATATCGGTTTTGAAACATTTACTGCAATCAACACGAATGCCACTGACCCACTTTTACAAATATGGAAACGTCATAGAACAAATCAGATGACGTCACTATTCAACGTGACGTCACCTATCCCAATCCTATGTCGTCACCTAAGAACGGGCGTGATAATGGCCCGTCGTCAAGCGATATGAGGGCATTATCAAGTTACAGTGGCCCGCTGATTTCTGATAACATGCGGGCGGTTTAATGATAATTCTATCCATTTTAGCTATAATAACGTGTATCCTGTTAGGTTGAAACCATTAAGTGCCATCCGTGTGCATCAAACATTCGTTGCCCGTTGTCCAACAGCCTTTATCATTGCTAGAGAGTTTATGCAAACTATACGCTGTTTTAAATTTCTTTAATACTATTCTTTCGCTCATCGTAATTATTTTTTTTCTAAAAGTCTACTTTATTGTACGTGTAATCAGGTGGCATTACGCCGGGCAGAGATAAAAGACATAAGATCAAAGCATTGCTATCCTTAGTTTAATGCAGATATTGATTTCAAGACAGAAACGTGAATTAATAACTCAGCAAATTCTTTTTTAAGAATTTACACGGGAATACATTGAGGTTGCTTATAATTTTTGCAGGTATTTTTATCTGAATATCTACGGTAATATAAAAAAAATTAAGTACTCACGAGAAGTAATGTTATTCACGGTAAAGTATCCAGAAATGGCTTAAATGACACTGAAGAGGCTTAAGACTCGCTTCAAAGCATATGAAGTATCCAGTCGTCATCGGGGAAACGTGTCTTACTTACTTCAAAGCCAGTGGGGCGTTTTTCTTCGCCAACAGCATAAAGAACGTTGTCAAGAACGAGAAACGTGTCCCTGTTTCTTGTCATGCAATATATATGTACACAAGTTTGAATAGGTTGTCACTAATGTGCTCTGATTGTACACGACATGTAGCATGAAACCTGATAGCTCTGAAAAGAAGTTCGTGAAGCAAAAATGTTTGGTGTATTTTGTCAGTCAGAAAATAACACATTGTTTACGTTTCGACCTTTCTGTAACATTTGTCATTGTTTTGGTTAACATTGCAACAACGTGTCCATTAAAGAGACATGAATAGATTTACACAATATGAATGACATGTTTTATGAGACCATAGGAAAGATATTAAATATTTAGAAGTCATAAGTCATCTCGTGATGTGAATATTGTTATTACGGTAACCTCAGAGATGGTAGATCGGTTATTTTAATCTTTTATTGTACGTTTGTACATTTGTACATTTGTTTTCAATTGTGAGCAGGCACGGTCGTTGGTTTGCCACCTTTCTTTTATTTAGTCATTGTATTCAACAATTCACTCAGACATACTATTCCATGTATTTTTATGTTTGTACGGACCGTGCTGTCTCAATGTGCTGCTCATGCGATGTTAAAATGACGTGGTATCGGAACAGGGATGCAGGATGTCACATGGCGAGCACGAGGTGACGGGGTGTTACATGGCGAGCACGAGGTGACGGGGTGTTATATAGCGACCACCAGGTGGCGGGTTGTTACATGGCGACCACAGGTGACGGGGTGTTACATGGCGACCACAGGTGACGGGGTGTTACATAGCGACCACCTGGTGGCGGGGTGTTACATGCGACCACAGGTGACGGGGTGTTACATAGCGACCACAGGTGACGGGGTGTTACATGGCGACCACAGGTGACGGGGTGTTACATGGCGAGCACGAGGTGACGGGGTGTTACATAGCGACCACCAGGTGGCGGGGTGTTACATGGCGACCACAGGTGACGGGGTGTTACATGGCGACCACAGGTGACGGGTTGTTACATGGCGACCACAGGTGACGGGGTGTTACATGGCGACCACAGGTGACGAGGTGTTACATGCGACCACAGGTGACGGGGTGATGATGCGACCACAGGTGACGGGGTGTTACATGGCGACCACCATGTGGCGGGGTGTTACATGGCGACCACAGGTGACGGGATGTTACATGGCGACCACCATGTGGCGGGGTGTTACATGGCGACCACAGGTGACGGGGTGTTACATAGCGACCACCATGTGGCGGGGTGTTACATGGCGACAGCCAAGTGGCGGGGTGTGACATGCGACCACAGGTGACGGGGTGTGACATGCGACCACAGGTGACGAGGTGTTACATTGCAACCACCAGGGGGCGGGGTGTTACATTGCGACCACCAGGGGGCGGGATGTTACAAGGTGACCACCATGGGGAAGGGTGTTACATGGCGACCACAAGGGGGCAGGAAGTTCCATGGCGACCACCAGAGGGCAGGGTGTTAAGTGGCGACCACCATGGCACAGTATATTACGTGGAAATGTTACTTAACTACTACAACTTAGCCGTGCATTACATAACGACAACCAGGTGTCGGGTTGTTACATAACGACCGCCAGGTGGTGAAATGTTACTTTGTGTTATTTTATTATGGCGACATCGAAATTTTTATGGAGACCACCAGGTGGCGGGGTGTTACATGACGACCACCAGGTGGCGGGTTGTTACCTAACGATCACCCAGTAGGGGAATGTTATTTTGTGTTATATGAGTGTCACATGGAGACATCCATGAGGCCTAGATTTTAGATGGCGACCACCAGGTAGCGGAACGTTAGGGGCCAACGTATGGGTAACGGACCGTAACATGACGACCTTTAGGAGGGAGCACCGTAACATGCCAACTGCTTGGTGGTGAAACGTTACACATCGTCTTCAGGGTGGCGAGCCTTAACATGACAGTTGGATGACAGACCGCAACATGCTGACTTCTCTGTAACGAACCGTGACATGCCGACTTATGACGTGGTGCACCGTAACATGCTGTCCCCGGGGTGGGGCACACCTTACATGCTGTCCGCGGGGTGGGGCACCGTGACATGCTGTCCGCTTGTTGGAACGCACTGTAACATGATGTCTGCTGGGTGGGGGACACTGTAACATACCGACTTCTTGGTGGAAGGCCGTGACTGCCGACTTGGAATACGTCTTGAAACAAGGCCTTATTTACATGTCCACATGCAGTTTTCATGTCCGTATAAATGTCATATTTTAATTAGTAGATGCATCATTTCAATTCCTCTCAAACATTAATACCAGGAAAAGTACTGGGGCAGAAATAATTAGGCATTTGGGTGTTCAAGTTATTGCCAATCTGGCTGCAGTTTGGGTTACAGCGGGGAAAACGGACACACCTTCCGGAGATAATAGGAGCATACACTACGAGACTGCTATACCCCATCTGTCCCATGCACGCTCTTGTACCCCTCCCCAGACACCTTCACTTTAAATATCTTCTCCGACCACCTTCACACCACCCCTTCTTTCTCCCTCCCCTCCCTTCTTTCTCCCTCCCCTCCCCTCCCCTCCCCTCCCCAACCACCGCACGCCATGTTTCGCCTGCGTCCACCTCTGTCTGCTTGAACGGGAGGAGTTGGTTTTGGGTCGTGGTGGGAATAAACAGTAAACATCATTACTCTCTTCTTATTGTCTGTCTATCATCCGGAGCGAGAAACGGAAACGGTGAACAGAAAGAAGTTACGCATTTGTCAAGCTGTCAAAGGGAATGCAAGAATGATCGTTTTATGCCATATTGCACAGAGCCTAAGTCATATGTGGGAGGGAAGCCTGCCCTCTACCAAATGAAACACAAGAGCATGAGCATGGTGCTAACAAAGCCAGAATTATTATCAGGAGGAATTTTTTATTTGCACTCACGATCATTTCATTCTTGCACGCCTCAGAGACACCCATCTACACAGCCAACTGCGGTGCCTGAGACTAAGCTACCCGTGCACCATAACTTCATGCACTTGCCATCACACGTCAGTTCATAGTCTTTCAACCGGCCCTCCAAAGCAGTAACGAATTATGCCCCACGTTCAATCTCTTACCACCAAGAGTTTCTTTTCAAATATGAACTCAATCAGCTGGGGGTCATTTTGGACAGATCTTGTGGATGGGGTGGACCCTCGAATCCACATACCCGTAAAGCAGGCCTTGCAACATGGCTGGTTTGAACTCGAGCATAGTCCTGATGAAGGAGAACATTACTTCGAAGTTTGCCACGACACAGCTCTTTAATGGACTCTGTTTCAATAAAGTACCATATCTGGTAATAACAAACAGGCTATTGAAGATATTTGACAAAAAGTCTTCATGAAGGAATGATTCTATTGACCCATTCGAGAAGCCTGTGGTCTCCCCCATGGCATGGAGAATATGGTGCCTATTGAGCACCAGGTTGTGCGTGGCATTAATGTCTTCCTTTTGATGCTGGGAGTTGGTCGTCCAGAGCTGGGAAACTCTTCCAAACCAATTCAAACAATTCCTTCACCCAACGTTTTATTGTCGTGGCATATAATCAGCCCAGCCTCTCCTTAACATCAGACACACGTTCATCTATCGTCTTTGTTGATGACTGCTCTATACTTAGTATTTTCCATTTCAATAGAGTAGGACTCCTCAGTCGAGGTCAGTTATCAGCAAGTCGCTGGACCGAAGCACGGTCCGAATTATGAAAGATGACTCAATAAACATAGGTCAGTACTGTCAAATGTGACATGTTAGCATGACAACAACCTAGATATCCTAGGCCCAACATTTTCTGATATACCCTCGTATGATGACATTCTTTGGCAGGTACAATTAACCTTATTGTTGATCAATACATCCTCGATAAGTCACGGTACATGCTATTTCAGACCGGAGGGCACGGGTGGCCCAGTCGTCTAAGGCGCCGCGATTCGCTGTGCAGAGTTGCGCCCCATGGGCACGCCAGAAACCTATGCTTGTGGGTTCGAATCCCGGTTCGCCCCGATTATGTTTCTAGGTTTGTCAGCACCATATCCGTGCTCGTGGGTTTCACCGAAGTGGTAAATGTCTCAGACCTGCATCACTTCGGGCTTAATTCCCACATTAAACTGAGAAGCAGCGATATAACTGGAATACTGTTAAAAGCGGCGTTAAACCCAACTCACTCACTCCCTATTTCAGACCGCGCTGATTGTTGTTTCTTCGACATAAAGATGGCACTGTGCAACTGTCAAGGCAGCTAGAGATGTAGGTTTAATAACAACAGTATCATCTCAAAGTCAGGTTGGACACCATCTGAGTGAGTGAGTTGGGTTTAACGTCGTATTTCTGTTTTATCACGGCGAATCAGCTTATTGTGAGGAGAAATCATGAAATATCACCGACAGAAGACGTAGCTCTGAAACAAACGAACACAGGTTTGGTGTTAACGAAACGAAGATCCCAATCAGGGTGAATTTGTGCGTTCGAACCCACGAGGACAAGGCTAACATCTGCACAACCCAGCAGATTCCAACGCTTTAGACTCAACAAAAGGCGTAAATAGAGAACTACTGTTAAACAAGATTTTCAGATCACCTGCTCAAAGAAATCAGCTTTAATATTGATCAGGAATTTCAGTTCGACAAGGGGGCGAGTTCGACACAAACAATTTGAAAAAGACTTGAACGTCAAATGTAAACGTCGTGAGTCCAGATGTGCAGTCTTCTCTGTCTGTTGGGCTCACATCCGATGTTGAGTCCTGGTTCAAGTTGTATTTGAAGGAACATCAAGGTCTTTATTAATACCATGCATTTAAACATTCCACTTTTCTGCCGAGTGTAGAAAACGTTAAAATCTCAATAAATTATTAAATATTTTGAATATATAATGATTCAGGAAAAGGTCAGGAGACACTGTAAGTACATCATACTGTAGATATCAGTCTGAGCAGTAGGTCGCGAGATAGTTGATATATTTTATACTGTATGTAACAAACAGAGCAGTAGGTCACGAGGCAGTTGATATATTTTATACTGTATGTTACAATCAGAGCAGTAGGTCACGAGACAGTTGATATACTTTATACTTATGTAACAGTCAGAGCAGTAGGTCACAAGACATTTGATATACTTTATACGTATGTAACAGTCAGACTAGTAGGTCACGAGACAGTTGATATACTTTATGCTGTATGTAACAATCAGAGCAGTAGGTCACGAGACAGTTGATATACTTTATACTGAATGTAACAGTCAGAGCAGTAGGTCACAAGACAGTTGATATACTTTATACTGTATGTAACAATCAGAGCAGTAGGTCACGAGACAGTTGATATACTTTATACTGAATGTAACAGTCAGAGCAGTAGGTCACAAGACAGTTCCTATACTTTATACTGTATGTTACAATCAGAGCAGTAGGTCACGAGACAGTTGATATACTTTATACTGAATGTAACAATCAGAGCAGTAGGTCACGAGACAGTTGATATACTTTATACTTATGTAACAGTCAGAGCAGTAGGTCACAAGACATTTGATATACTTTATACGTATGTAACAGTCAGACTAGTAGGTCACGAGACAGTTGATATACTTTATGCTGTATGTAACAATCAGAGCAGTAGGTCACGAGACAGTTGATATACTTTATACTGAATGTAACAGTCAGAGCAGTAGGTCACAAGACAGTTGATATACTTTATACTGTATGTAACAATCAGAGCAGTAGGTCACGAGACAGTTGATATACTTTATACTGAATGTAACAGTCAGAGCAGTAGGTCACAAGACAGTTCCTATACTTTATACTGTATGTTACAATCAGAGCAGTAGGTCACGAGACAGTTGATATACTTTATACTGAATGTAACAATCAGAGCAGTAGGTCACGAGACAGTTGATATACTTTATACTTATGTAACAGTCAGAACAGTAGGTCACGAGACAGTTGATATACTTTATACTGTATGTTACAATCAGAGCAGTAGGTCACGAGACAGTTGATATACTTTATACTGAATGTAACAGTCAGAGCAGTAGGTCACAAGACAGTTCCTATACTTTATACTGTATGTTACAATCAGAGCAGTAGGTCACGAGACAGTTGATATACTTTATACTTATGTAACAGTCAGAACAGTAGGTCACGAGACAGTTGATATACTTTATACTTATGTAACAGTCAGAGCAGTAGGTCACGAGACAGTTGATATACTTTATACTGTATGTTACAATCAGAGCAATAGGTCACATACACATGAGATACTGTTTTCCGCATGTAACAGTCAGAGCAGTAGGTCACAAGACAGTTGATATACTTTATACTTATGTAACACTCAGAGGAGTAGGTCACAAGACAATTGATATACTTTATACTTATGTAACACTCAGAGCAGTAGGTCACAAGACAGTTGATATTTGGAATATTGTACACACCAATCAGAGCAATAGGTCACAAGACACTTGAGATACTGTTTTCCGCATGTAACAGTCAGAGCAGTAGGTCACGAGACAGTTGATATTTTGTATATTGTACAAATCAATCAGAGCAGTAGGTCATAAGATAGTTGATATACTGTATACTGTATACATAGGTCAGAGCAATGATCGTACAAGTGAATGATGATACGTGTCGGCGTACGAGGGGAGGCTGATACTATGATGAGTAATTGTTGCTAATTATTCTTGAATATACTCCCCTCCGAGGTCCACATAATTCTGACTGTAATCACTATTTCCGTAACGTTTGGGAAGAGGTGGAAATTTGACGGTGCCAAATCTCGTGAATACGGAGGTCAGGAGGTAGTCCACCAAGAGGATTCCAAGAAAACCGAAGCCATCACCTTGTCACCTTGCGCCCTTTCCACCTTGCCACTTGCCACTTGAGTTTGACGTCTTTTTCAAAGGAGACGTTGGATGTTTCCACTGCTTTGACTGTTGTTTAGTCTCTGGTGGTAAAACCGTGTTTCATCCATGGTTACAATTCTCTCACTAAAATCAGCTTTCAGTGATGATAAACCTTAATCAGGAGTCAGGAGTCAGAACCAAACGTGCTGCAACCTTTGTCTTGGCCAATTCATTCCTCCGCATCACCTCCACTCTCTCTCATGAGAAATGCCTGCTGCATGTGACCTGTGGTGAATCGTCGATCATGCATAATCATAACACACAATTTATCAACAGTTTACTTGGTAATGATAGATGATGGTCTACCTGATCGTGGATCATCTTCGAGGCTCTCTTTCCCTCTTGAACGTACCCCCGTATTGATGTCTGTTGAGGCCGTTCATTTGGCGATACGTTTGTAATGTTTTAAGCAACCGATGGGCTGTGCACATTTGATAATGAACGATGAAAGACATAGTAGCGTTGACCATGATTGTTTCTGTAATTCCTCGCTCCATGACCTGTGGAATAACTCATAAAATACATATCGCACAGTGATATACTCATGTGCTAACATGTGAATACTACATCCCTCTTCTCCTTGGATGAAAAGCAAAATGACTAACATTAAATTGGATATAAAATATATATATTGAAAATGTAAAATGGTTAACTGAAATGCCTCAAGTACTCCTTTTATGCGTTTATCACTTTTTGGTAATAACGTTTGTAACTTTCGACTTATGAAAATATAAAAGTCTTTGAATAATATGCTGAAAACATAAGGATA